TGAGGATCTTCTGATTTTTTACTGAGGAATACACTGCATTGGGTGGAATGCACCTAGCTAAAGGACACGATGCTCAGGATAAAGCCCCTTCTCAGCCCTCAGGAGGGTCTCTGGGGTCCTTCTGGCCAGCCCCTCCCCCACCCCCAGAGCCAACCCGGGCTCCCGTGCCCAAGACCAGAGACGCACTTGGCCTGATTGAGCCGTCTGCGTGGTCTGTGGTGTTCCCTCACCAGGCCTGGTGTTTTGGAGATCTCTCTATGGTTTTACACATCTCAGGAGTCCTTCATCTGTGTGTCTGTTTTTCCGTTCTCCTGTGGGTGTTACGCAACCAGGACTGTTTCCGTTTTTCGGCTATTACGAATAGTGCTGCCATTCACATTCTTAGCCGAGTCTTTGTGTGGCCGCTTGGTTTCATTTCTCTTCGGTCGATGCTTAGGCCTAGAATTGCCGGCTATAGGCTAAGCGGACGTTTAACCTTATAAGAAATTGCTGAGCTGTGTTCCACGGTGGTGGCGGGGCCGTTCCATTCCCCCACCAGCCGTGGAGGAGGGACCCAGGCTCCCTCCCGCTGCTGCGTGGAGACGGGCCCGTGGGTAGGAGAGGAAGCCAGGAAGCCAGGAAGGAGGCCCTTGCAGTCACCAGAAGGGAGACCGCAGGAGCTCGGCCTGAGGCAGGGCTGCAGCGTTGCATCGGTGACTGAATAAACACGCACATGGGACCCCTACCCTGAATGTCTGTGCCCTGCCCCGACACGTCCCTCAGCCCTGGGGACAGATTTGCCCTTCCTGTCAAGGGAGAGGAGGAAGTGAGTCCTTGGAGGCTTGCCACCTACAGGCCACATCGGGCAAGCATTTCCTGGGATCTTCTGCGCTCTAGGCCCCTCGCTAGGTGCTGCTGGGGATACCTGGCTTATGGGTGCTCCCAGTCTGGGGCTCCAAGTGTGGCTGAGGCCCGGGTTGCGGGAGGGCAATGTGCTTTGGGGAAGGGAACAGCATGGAGGAAGGCTGGAAGGTGGGAATGCTCAGAGCACACACATGGAGGAAGGTCAGTGAGCGTTCTGGTTACCCCAGCGTTAGACTGTGTGCCTAGCACCAGGCTCAGGGCTTTGTATGAATCTCCCCCACTTCATTCCCACAACCCCCTAGGACATAGAGACGATGGTTAGCCTAGCTTAACAAATTGGGAAACTGAGGCACAGAGTGACTTCCCATGATTCTATGTCACACAGCCCATGACAGATGAAACTGGGAGGTGCAAACAGGCAAGAGGAGGATGGGAAGATGGGAGGCAGATTCCTGAAGGTTCAGATGCTCTGATAAAGCCTCCATGGTACAGGGGTCCATCCGTACACATTCAGCAGCGTGGACACATGGGGTGTGCCTAGGCGAAGGTGCCCAGGATGGGGACCACTCGACAGTCCCATCACGGTACCTTTGTCTCTCTAGGGAATGACGTTCTGAGAGGCTGAGCAGATAACCCTCGGCAGGGCTGGGTGGGGAGGGGCTGCCCTGGGCTGGCCAGATGGCCCAGCATAGCCAGACCGCCAGCCAGCAAGCATCTCGACAATTCTTGTTGGTTGCCTGATAGATGAGACAAACGATTCTTTGGCAAGGGACTAAAGGTTTTGTCCAAAGTCCTGGATCGATTTTATTTTATTATTGCCAGTGGCTGAAAACAGCATTATCAGGAACTTTCTCAAAATCACATTCACTGCCTTTAAGTTAAGGATGGCGGACTGCAGCCTGAAACTTGGCTGCCTTTCCTCACATGCCCTCCATCCAGCCATTGATTTTCATTCTCGAAATGGCAGGAGTTAGTCCCAACGGGATTTCAGTCTAGTATGTGGCTTCTGAAGGAAACCTCTGACCGGGTTTCCTTGAAGTTCCCTCCTCGCTGCCAGCGCTTTTGGTTCCTTGGTGCTCATAGTCTCTTCCTGGAGGTGCCAGGAGCAAGGGGCAGGGCCAGCACACAAAGTACATGCCGGGTCTCAGAGTCTGCTCCCTGCAGGGCCGGGTGGGTGACGTGAATGAAGGAACGAGCCAGGTGGGGACTCTGGCACCCTGGCCGGGGGGGGGGTGTCTCACATCCCCATGTGAGGGGCTGGCTGATGTCACTCAGCTCCGAGGGATGGCGGACAGGTAGATAATGGGCCCAAGGTGGCTCCATCTTACCATTATCTAAATGTGAATCTCTCAACCAGACCTTCAGATCTGTACAATGTGAAATCTTCCAAGTTTTTCTTCACGGCCACTGAAATGTTTAAAAAATATTTTAAAGCCAAAAAAAGCACATCTGGGTTCAGTGCAGGGCCCTCCAGTTTGAGACCTTTCCTCACAATGGCTCAGTGAGGCAGGACTCACGGTCGCGTATCAGGGATGAGGAAGCTGACCCCCAGAGAGTGGGCACGCAGGCAGCAGCAGAGGGGGAAATGCAGACTGGGGGTCTGTGGCCTCCACGGGCAGCTCTCTCCAGTCCACCCTATCCTGGCCCAGGTCCCGTGTCCCCCAGCCCTTCTCCACCTCTCGGGCCAGCTTTCCTTGGGGTTGAGGCTGGAGCTCTTTCTGGCTTCTCTTCTCCTTCCCCTCCTCCTTCCCCTTTTCCCTGCTTCTTCTCCTTCTTGGCTTGGGTTTTAACTCCAGCTCTACTACTCACCCGCTGAAGGACTTTGGACAAGTTATTTAATTTCTCTGTGGCTCAGTTTTCCTTTCTGTAAGTGGGGGAGATTAATAGTAGGAACCTCCTTGGGTTGTTGGGAGGAGTCAGTGAGTTGAAATACACAAGGGCCTTGGGCCCTGCCTGGCATGCAGCCAAGTGCTCTCTATCTAAGGGTCTGCTAAATAGAGTAAGTGCTACAAACATTTATTGAGTGTCTACTGTGTGCCGGGCCCTCTGATGAACCCCAGGGCTCAACGGGGGCACCAAGGACAAAAGCCCACCCCTCATGGAACTTACACTCTAGAGGAGGAAGACACAGGGTTGGACGAGCCCCATCTGTGGGCCCCATGCCGGCACAGTCTGCACTATGCTGACCTGCCTGGAGTTCGCACGATCCAATGGGCCTTTCCAAATCGCAGCCCTGGGTGTGGCCACTCCCCCTCACGCCTCCCACGAACTCCGCTGCTCACTCTCTGTGACCCTCAGCTGGCCCATATCACCTTTGCTTAGGGCCCAACCACTCTTGCCAACAAGCTTTTGCACAACAGCTCTCTCTGCTTCTCCCTCCCTTCCCCTCAACCCCTTGGCTTAGTCAAAGCCGCCTCTTCAGAGTCACTTAACCGCATTATGACCTGCCACTTTGCACTGTGTGTGGTGACCCACGCGGGGAGGCCGGGGAGTTTTTGTTTGCCATCTGCTCCTCCAGCTCATGGAAGAGCCTCACTTGCATTGGGAAGGAAGGGAGAGATGTGAGGACTCAGTTGCTTCTCCTCTCCAGCTTTGCTTTCCTCACCTATAAAAGGGGTGCAGTCACCATGAACTTGAAGGACCGAGCTGACGAGCCTGGAAGTGGATGCCACCTGGGGTGGCTGGGTGCTTCCTGGAGGAAGGGGCAGCTGAGGACTGCAGAGAAGGGCAGGAGGAGGCCCTGGAGGAAGGCAGGGGAGGGCATGTGATGAGAGGGGCCAGTGTCTGGCTCAGCTGCAGCCTGCTAGAAGGTCAAGATGGAGGCAGATAGCAGGGGTCCTCAATGAGGAAACCAGGCAGAGAATAAGTGTCATCTCTCCAACCCTGCTCCTCAGCATCCCTGGTCCTCCCTCTGGGGCTGTTCAGAAAGAGGGTCTTAAGAAGCCCCTCCAGGCTGTGGATCCAGGCTGGGTCAGGTATGACGTGGGGGATGGCTTTCTGTGGAGCATGTATTTCTTCTTTTATTCTCAGTCTAAAAGGTGGAAGGAGGCACGTGTTCTCCACACAGCCTCCCAGGTGCAGAGAAGGAGGGAGTGAGAGGAGAAACTGGAGAGTTTTCAGAGAGGGGCAGGCGTTGCTGGAGGTCACACAGCACTGCTCCTCATGCCCACACAGGGCATGAGTGTGAAAAATGGTCTCAGAGGAGCCGCTCATGCAAATAAGGACAAGAATAATGGCACATTCCCCATTTTCATTTAAAAATAGTCACAGCAGTGACGCCTGGCACTTCCTAAGTGCCCAGTGCTGTTCTGAGCTTTTTACACTGTTAACCTTGGCTCTTCATAGCAGCCAGAAGAGATAGGTTCTATTACATTTATTTCCACTTAACAGATGAGGAAACTGAGGCATAGAGAGCCTGAGTAACTCCCTCAAGGTGACCCAGCAGGAGCAAAGCCAAGAATCCGGGAGCTGTTGACCGCTTCACATCAGTCTCAGGTCACCCTAGTGCCTCCGGGGAGACAGCGGGGGCAGCGTTACTGTGCCCATTTTTCGGAGGAGCAAACCGCGGTTCCGAGAACCTGCATGATCGCCGGAAGGGAGGCGGCGAAAGGAGGCGTCGGAGTAGTTTGGACCCGGCCACTCAAGGAGCGGAGCCGCAGGCCCCTCCCATGAGCCAGGTGGATGGGCGAGTGGTGGGGGTTGGCGGCTGGTGTTAGGGGAGGGGGTGAATCGAGGCCGGAGGCTCCCTTGCTCTTCATCCGGAGGCAGGAGGAGGCTGAGGACCGGCTGTACCACTTGGCACCAGCATTTGCAGGGAAAGGGTTTCCTCGAAAAGTGCTCTCTAATGCGGGAAGCAGTGGGCCGAGTGTTCGCCGCGCAGCACGAGGGTGTGTGCGCGCGCGCTCGGCGAGCCCGGGCTCTTTGTCCGAGCCCGTGCGCGCGTGCGTGTGTGGTGTGTGCGAGTGTATGTGTGTGCGCGTGTGTGTGTCTGTGTGAGTCCTCATGGGGCGGGGCTGGGCGACCGGCCCCGCCCCGGCCCCGCCCCCGGCCCGGCCAAGCTGGTATTTTTCCACCCAGCAGGATGGGTGATGCTGAGAGCTGCCTGCTCAGACAACAGACACGCGAGGTCAGGAAGAAGCCGCTTATAAATTACCGCTTCCTCCGCGCCGCCGCCAGCGCCGAGCTCCGGGCCCTGGCCGCAGCCCCGCTCGCTCGCCAGCTCCGAGCCCCGAGGACCGCGAGCCCAGAGACCCAAGCCACGCGGAGAAGGAGCGCGGAGCGCGGAGCCCGCGGGCCAGAGACCGAGCAGGAGGGCACCCCCGGCCAGTGGAACCGAGTGCAGCCGAGCGCAGCGCCGCGGCCACCCCAGGTACCCGAGGGACAGGGAGCCGGGCGCGCGGAGCCCCCTCCCTATCCCTGCGCTCCCGCCAGCCCGGACCTCCCCGCCAAGCCCCTCTCGCCACCGAGGGAGGGACGGAGGGTCGCCCGCGCAGACCCGCTGGTGAGGCTGTTATTGTTTCCCCAGCGAAAGGGCTTGGGCTTTTCGTGCCGGCGGCAGGTGTGTGTGTGTGTGTGTGTGTGCGTGTGTGTGTGTCGGTGTCTCTGTCTCACCGGGTGTCTCTATGTATCTCCATGTCCCTGTGTTTCCGAGGGTGGCTGTTCCTTCATTTCTCCAGCAATATGCACTCGTGTGTCCCAGTGTGTGCCTGCTCTTCTGTGTCTTGGGTTGTGCTTGTCTGTGTATTCTGGCGTGTCTATGATACCTGAGTGTGGCTGTGTCAATGTGTCCTAGGATGTGGGCACTTGCGTGTCCCGGTGTGTGTCTGGTGTGAACCTGTTTGTATGTGACTGTGTCTCCGAGTACCTGGCTGTGCACGTGTGTGTCCCTGAGCGTGGCTGTGTCTCCGGGCCCCTGGTTGCAGGCACTTGTGCGTCCTGGCTGTACCTGAGGGAGTGTCCCTGGTGCCTAGAGGGCCGACCAGCCGGAGCTGATTCTCCAGGGCAGGCACTGAGTTGGGCGAGGTGATAGGGGGGCATGGCTCCAAGGGTGCTGCCCGTGTGTGGCGTGCAGGTGGCAGTGCCAACGTCCAGCCGTCTTGAGTGGCAGGACGGAGGCCCCAAGGGACAGCTGGGGGCCAAATGGGCAGCAGGCAGGGACAGCAGGACACATCCTCCTCTAGCCTTTTCTCCTTCCTTCTGAGGGTTCCTCTTTTGAGCAAGAGGTTCTCTCGTCCCCCTCCCACCAGGAAAGCCAGATAGAGAATCTCAGGGACCTTCTGCGACAGCCCCAAATCTTCAGCCTAAACTGGAGGGGGGACCTGTGGGCCACCCCCTGCCCCCGGCATTCAGAGGGAGGTGTGTGCTGAGCAGGGCCACCGGCCTGGCTATTTTGGTCACTGCCTGGCCCCTGCCAGATCCTGGTGTCCCCTAGGACTAGCCCCAAAGCCTTGGGAGGCAGCCCAGGCCCCCATTTCCTGCCTGGAGAAATAAATCAGCTCAGTAACTGCCCAGACACTTGAACGGAGGGTCTTTGGGCTGAGGTTTAGTGGCGCGTGGCTGGCTCCGTTTGGACTTCGGTAAATTGGCCCACGCTTTGGCACTGCTGGCGTTTAAATAAATGTCATGGAGGAGATCTTTTTAAAATTTCTTTTTAATTTTTTCTTGGCTAGAAGGGAGGGGATCTCATCCAGAGTCTCCCAGCCAGAAGGAGTTTATTTTTGTGAGAAAGAGCGGGTGAGTGCTTAGCAACCGCCTGCCTCTCTCTCTCGACCGGGGAGTCATCCTGGGAGTGTGGGGTGGGCATGAGAAGGTGTGGCGGTGGGTGGGGGAAGGAATGTAATCAGGATGGTGTTGGGGGGATTAGAGGGATGCCGGAGGGCACTGGCTGAGAACCCACCACAAGATGGGATTGGCAGAATGGCTAGAGGTCTTAGGGCTGGCTCAGTCCCTAGTTGACCTTGTGCAACCTTTTGGGGGGGGGGCCTCAGTTTCCTCATCTGTAAAATGGGTGGAGTAGACTGGTTATGGGGTAAATGGGGACTGAGAGGCAGAAGCATGTCCCCAGAGAGCTCAGTTCAGTTACTGTGCCTCAGTGACTCTACCTTAGTCAGTAGGTGACCTTGGGTGATTCTCTTGGCCTCTTTGAACCTCAGCTTGGCTGTCTGGGCAGCAAGGACGCCAGTGCCGGCCTCGCTGCGCCCTTGAGGGGATTGAGGGAGATGAGGATGAATAAGCCTACGGTAAGCTGTAAAGCCCGGCTCGGCTTCGTAGCTGCCGATTAGAGGGTGTCACGAGGTCTCAGGTCACTGGTATGTGGCAGGGCCAAGGTGCACTCTTGAGCTTTTGTCCTTCGGGGATACCCTTGTGCTGGCCCATAATGCAGTCGCAGTGGGCCTCCTCTGCCCCGTTCCTCTCCTCTCGTCCTGCAGTGATCGGGTCACATCTGCTTTGCAGAGTCGGGAGGCCTTAGTGGGAAGTACCCATTTTAGAGATGGGCAAACTGAGAGCTGCCCAGGGGACTTTGCCTTGATCGGACGGTGGCAGGAGTGGGCCTCAAAGGTCTTTCCTCTGCCAGCTGAGCTTGGGCCCCATGGAGCTTTAGTCACTGATGTGCTGAGGAGTTGAACTTGGACTGTGGTCAAGACCTGGGGAAAACAAGGGACAAAGATCCTCCAGTCCTCAAGGTTGGAGGGAGAGAGCGCGGGACCCACGGGCACCTCGATTCTGTCCCTCGTTATTCATTCTCCCTTCTGTGTGCCTTCTCGGGGAGCCCTGCCACTCTTCCTACACAAGTGTCAAATCCACAGGAGGCTTTGGGCGCTGGTGATGGTATTTTCTAACTCCCAACTTGTTTGCCTGTCAACCTGTCAGAGGACTTGGGAGCTGTACTTCTCTGAAAGTCTTTCCAAAGGTCCCGAAATGATAAGACACTTGTGAGTCATTGAACACATTCCTGTATATAGGAAAGAGCTGACAAATAAATTACAAGGAGCGCCCAGAATGCAGCTTAGCCACAGCTGGAGGGGGTCTGGGCGGGAATAGGGCTGGCCTTGGAAGCCCAGGGTCACCCTGGCAGGTACAGGCTGATCACTCACTTCTGCAGAAGGTCAGAAGCAAGAGTCAGATTCTTTGGGGCTACATCTCACTCCTCTGCATTGGCCAACTTATCGTGGCACAAGTGTTTGTTTGAATTTATGGATTCTGGGGAGGAGCTGTGGTTGTGGAAATGCCCAGGGTGGCCTTCGAGTGTGAAAGAGAGCTCTTTTTAAATGTGCCTCTTCTAGTTGTTTAATAAATCTTGCTAAGGTCAGCTCTGGCCTGGCACTGGATTTGGGGTAGAATATTGGCTTTCGAGGTGCTCAAAGTCCAGAGGGAGATAGGGCACTGACCATGCCATCCGAGGCGTGCTGTGAAGACTCAGGTGACTGAGTATGCACCGATGGTGGGGTCATAGGCAGAAGGCACTTCAGCCTCTTAGAGGAGGTGATGTCAGAGCTGGCATCTTCTGTGAGCGGAGGAACAGTATGGGCTGGCGTTCTGGGCAGGGGACATAGCAGGTACAAAGGCACAGTGGCATGAAATAGCCAAGCATGTTTGTAGAATAAACCTTGCAGGGTTCCTGCTGGAGAAAACAGGGGCCAGGTGGTAGAAGGGCCTGAGCATTGGGTAAACGGGCTTGAGCTTTATTCTAGAGCAGCAGGGATAGAAACGGCATCAGACTGGGTTTAGGGGCAACAGTGGCAAAGCTAGTTAAACCCAGGAGCCCAGAAGACCCCTGATGGTAGGTGGGGAACTAGGCTGGGGTCCAGGAAACCGAGGGTGGCCAGGCCACCGCTGGTCAGGGCGCAAAGCATTTTCCATGCCAGTGAATCTTGCCCTGAGCTCTTTTTGTAAACACAAGGTGAAGGCCTGGACATGCTGTTTAATAGGTACACAGGCCATTAGCTTACTGGCTTTGACCTCCCTGGGAGCATGAAGCCCAGGAGTCTTTAGGGTGAATTATGTCTGCCCTGGACAGGGCTTTGCGGTTTCCCCTCCCACAGAGGCTTCATTTGGAAACCTGAGCTGAGGGGCAGGGGCTATGAGTGGCCCAGAGAGGGCAGAAAGAATGGAAACTGCTGTGCTGTTTCTAAAGCTCTGTGAGTCACCCAACTCTCTTGTAAAAATCAGTGTACAAACAACAAATCACCCAAAACAATAAAAGGGAAGGGGAGTGTAACTGCCAGGGGTTGGGCAGTGGTAACTCTATAATCAGGCAGAGAATGACTTGAGTTACTCTTTTACGAATTCAGATTCCCAGGTCCAGCATGGACACACTGAATCAATCCCCATGGGGTGGAGCCTGGGAATCTGTATTACAAAATCATGTGTTTTTTTTTTTTTAATTTAAATTGAGATCTAATTTACATGCCGTGAAATGCAAAGAGTCTGTTACAGTTTGATGAATTTTGACAGATTTATACACCTGTGTAACTACCACTCAGATCAAGATAGAGAATATTTCCAGCTCCCCTAGAAAGTTAGTCGTCTCATGCCCTTCCCCTCCCGGAGGTGAGGAGTTTCTGATTTTTGTCACTCTGAATTAGTTTTGCCAAGCCTAGAACTTCATATAAATGGCCTTGTGTGGTGGATACTCTTTAGTGTCTGGCTTCTTTCTGTTTGATGTTTTTGAGATCCATCCATGCTGTGGAGTTTATCACGAGGTGATTCCTTTTATTGCTGAATAGTATTCCATTGTATGGAGTCACCTGTTGATGGACGTTGGGGTGTTTCCAGGTTGGGGTGATTATGAATGAAGCTGCTGTGAGCATTCCTGTATAAGTGTTTCAGTGAGCTTATATTGTACATTTCTCTAGGAGTGGGACTGCTCAGTCCTAGGGTCCATAGATGTTAACTTTATGAGAATATGTCAAAGAATTCTTTTAGTTACAAAAATAATACACCTCGGGGTGCCTGGGTGGCTCAGTTGGTTAAGCGTCAGTCTTCGGCTCAGGTCATGATCTCAGGGTCCTGGGATGGAGCCCCACATTGGGCTCCCTGCTCAGGGGGAGCCTGCTTCTCCCTCTCCCTCTTCCCCTCCCCTGGCTCATGGGTGCTCGCTCGCTCTCAAATAAATAAAATCTTAAAAAAAAAAAATATATACCTCAAGCAATACAAAACTGTATAAACTAAAAGTGATCCTCAAAGATCATTAAAAAAAAGTGCACTCTAATCTTCAGTCTGTCTATTTCTCCAATAACAATAAAGGCCTGTAAGGTTATACATTTTCCTCTGCACACAGCTTTAACCGTATCTCTCGGCTGTCTACAGGGACGTATACTTTTTTATTACATTCTAGATCAGTTTTCATTTCAGTTTGGATTTCCTCGT